TTTTACATCGCCCTGGGGCGGTGCACTTACATTGACTGTGCGGGAGTTTACCTGACTGACAAATGGCCCCTACGTCAAGCATCCGTGGAGCCAACATGACTGCTTGTTTGAGTGCTTACGTTGATTCAGCTCTTGATGAAAAAAACGATGCGATGAGGTGGTCCGAAGATGCCATCTATAGAACTATAGATCACTGAGTTGAACGTAGTGAAGCGATGCGCTTTAGTCGAGACACAGACATTCCTACTCGATTCCTACGTGCGACTAGCGACGGACACGTCTACGACGTTGCAAAGCGAGTGTGGTTGACTGGTAAGCCTGACAACGCCCATCAGTTAACGTAATTATGCGTTTGACGGACAAAGTTTCGTAGACGTCGAATTCAGAGGCACGTTCGTTGCATCACCGAATCCAAGTCACGTTACTTGTTGTTCAGCGATGAGATGACTTTTACATCGTCTATCCAGGCCCCATTTGTTCAAGGCCCGACCTCGTGATTCCAAGAAGGAGTTTGTATTTGAAGTGCTTGCCGTGATTTTGTCCACTCTCCTGCACCTTGCTACCGGCATGGGCCGTGCTTTGCCGGACTCTCCTACTCAACCACACGGAAAGCCGGTGCCCCTCGGCAAACAGCCGCTTCCCGAAACGTTCTGTTCCTGGGTGAGGAACACCGGCAGCATGGTTCCTTCCTGAGGTCTCTACCGGGTGGCTGGCTGGTTCATTCCCTCCTTCCTTTCCCTACCAGACGACGACTTCGAACGACCGGTCCCAGGATGAGACCTTTGAGCCTTCGTCACCCAGGTGCAGAGCCCAGGTGAATCGGAGACGGAGAGCGGACCTGCCCAGACGCGAACAGAACGGTCCTTGGTCCCTCGAAACCATTGAGATTGGTTCGGGTCCCCTCCATATGAGGTGTCCGGCCCCTACTACTGAACGCAGGGTCCTGGGTCGCGTCTGGCAACACAACTGCAGAGATCGATGGAGTTTTCAAAGGAGTTTTCCCTTTAATGGTTTTACAGTCCGGGTATCTGCATGGTATGATATGTTGACCTGTTTTTTCTCCATGTTCTTTCAGTCAGATTCTGGTGGTATGAGATTTCACTTTATTTTTGCCTGTTTTTCCAGGTTCCTTGAGCAAATCCAAGGTGAGGGTTGTTTTTTTCGCCACCAATGGAACTGCCCCTGAAAGGTGGCTGCACCTGGTGGCTGGCGGGGATTGGGGACACCCCACGAAAAGAACACAAGGTGGAAAGAGTTTGACCGTTATTTTTGTGGGAAAACTGGGGGAGTCGTCAGTGAATGTTGATTGGTTTCCAATAACAACCCTTTGCTTGCTTGCGGTCCCTCTGTCCGGCGGGTATAGGTGATGCTTCTTCTTGTGTGAATCAATGAAGGTTTCGTCCCCTGAGCTCCCAAGAACGATGCGGTCGATCCTGGTTCTAGTACCCTACGCACTGCTCTCTGACATACTCTGACCTTCTCCCAAGTAGGGTCCTTACACGGCGTTCCAACGCGAAGAACCTGAGAGAGCTCTTCAATGAACTAGGAGAACTCAAAAGGGTATTTGTAAATCCCAGACACTCCATGTATGCCATATATGCCTACATTGGGGTGGTTTGAGGGGTCAATCTAGGCATATATGGCATACATGGAGTGTTTGGGAATGGTTTAGATGTTGGTGATTCTAGAATTCACAGATGAGCACACGAATCAATGACTTTTATGGGCTGTGTTGATTTGGGCGGCTGCCCAATGCCGCAGGCAACCGCCCAGTCACTCGTTCAATGGACGGGAAACGGCGGTGATTTCGGGACCTGGCAAGGCATGGCATCATGAACATGTCATGGTTCCGTTCAGGTTGGCTGGTTCCGGTCAAAGGCTTTGAGCTGGTTGGTTCATGTGTGCGATGTGCATCTTTTTTTTGGTGTGTGTGTGTGTTTGTGGTTCCAAAGAGAAGCCCCTGTTTTTGAAGTGTTTTGCTTTAACCAGCCTTTTTCACACCGTTAGAAGAATCCGCCAGGTTCGTTTTGAGGCCTTGGTATCGTCAAGAGTCACTCATAGATCCGGGCAATAAGGACTGAATCAGGAGGATCTAATATTTATTTATATAATATATAATACATATACTCTACTTTGACAGTACTTGGCCCTCAAAATAGTACCTTTTTGTGCTGACGCACCATCTATTATGCAAACAACACATACATGTGTATTCATTATATGTGTGGGTCCCGACCAACAAACAAGATCCCACTTTTTGATTTTTGGGGGGACCACTATAAAATGTACATCATGTGTACTGTGTACCTGATATGTACTGTCTTGGCAGAATTTGGTTTTGGAACGTTCTTTTTTCCAAGGTGTTTGTTCGTGGATCTCACATGTTGTTTGTTTGGTTCCTGGATCAACTGCGGAGCTGTTTGTTTCCTCAGGGACGAAAGCTGTGCGTTGAACAGCTCTTCCTGGCCGAGACGACGCGGAGTGTTGTCTAAGTTCAAGAAGTACCTCAAGCAACAAATGTTTTCCCTCAAGGTTGATGAATTCCTTCCTTCATGAGGTGGCAACAAGTGGGAAACTAGGTAGAATGAAGTATGAAGAATGGATTGCAGTTTGTGTAATTAAGCCAGTCTTTTCCCTTTTTGCACAGTTGTGTTGACCAGGGCTCTCATGACTTGGGTGTTGCAGCTATACATCCCAAAGATTTCTACTTTGGAAAGAAATAGACACCAACAACTCCAGAACGTTCTTCAGATGTGGCTTTCATCTCGCGCTGATCATGCCAAGAAGTTGGGGCACTCATCATCTCCATGGACGGCGCTACCAACGCTTTCATGGATTGTTTTAATGGTGAGCGCAGAGGCAACAACCATCCACAACCCAAACTTGGGGTATTATGGGATACTGTGCCGTTGTGGTATGGCTTGTAAGCTTGACCCCCCTTTTCAAACTAGTGGCTTTTCCAAACTTTGGGAGTCCACGAAGCTTTTCAAATCTTTGGGATCCACCCCACATAGAGCATCATACACGGCAAAAAAAGGCAAAAGACGAGAAGTCGATGTTCCAAAAAGGCACCCACACCCCATCGCTACTGTTGCCTGTAGCGGATCACGTTCCGCGACGGGCCAATCAGCATGGTATTCAGTTCCACCCCGCGACGGAACGATGGAAAGGCCTTAAAAGGTCAGGAACCCGGTGAAGCGGTCGTGTCCGAGGGCTGTGAGCAACATGGTGTTAGAAAGATTCCTGTCATGTTCTAAGAACAACATGGATCCATGATGATGTCCATGATTTGCCTCATCCTTTCATCGCTCGCGCGATGCTGAGCAGCCAAGGCCCCCAGGAAAGCGACGAGGCGCGGGCTGATGCACGGGCTGATGGGGGAGGCGATCTCCGAAAGATGCACGTACGGTTTTGCAGGCAGTTGTTTTGGACGGTTCGAGATGGTATTTCCCGGCGGTTGATTTTTAGAAGGTGCTACAGTGACGGCTTTTGAAATGAAAGGTAATCATGGCAGGCATGCCTCCAGCAGCAGATCAAGGGTTGCTCCTTTTGGTGGTAGAGCAAATCAGCAAAGCCAGGAATTAGGTGACAGCTGCAAGACCAGGTCCAAAGTGATGGGAAAGGGGGGTCTTGAACAGTTTCTTCCCACAAAAAGAGCTCGGGGCGGCAGGATACTCCTGGAGCTCTTGGGGTGTCTCAATGCCCATCGCGCGCCAGGCGTTGGATGCGATCTTGTCGCTGGAGGGTTTGTGGCAAGCCTCCCGCCAGGACACCGCACGGCGGCTGATGAGGTGCGTGGGAAGCCCATCGCGCATCGGATGGGTGATGGGGATGAGGCCATACGAAAGCTGAGTGTACCAGGTCCCCCAGTCAGTATATTCATGTCTTAAGCACTTAAGCACTGTTTTGGGAGGTTGGTGGAGGCTCCTCGTGCCTTGTGCCCCCCAAGTTGCGAAAAATCATGTCCCCTGGTCCACCACCTCAAAAGACGGAGAGGTGGAAGAACGTGAAGCATGATGTGTCAAGGGAACTGAGGGAGTTGAGCCAATAACCTGTTTTTTCATGTGTTTTCCTGATCGGGTGATGTCTATGATGTTCCCTATGGGTAAGTCCTGTGCTGGGTAATATTCAATTTATCAATATGTTTCCCAGTACCTTAAGAAATGGTTTCTTTTAGTTATTACTATATATAGTTTTGTTGTGCATAGGTTCGGGATGTCTAGGAATTCTTTGGAGCCTGGCTGGATACGGAGGCCTTTTTTGAATGAGGTTCAACATCCATGAATATGAATGCCTCAAGTGGATCAACATGATCCAGACACTGAATCCAGATTCACCCAGTGGTAGGGGTGGTTGGTTGATGTCAGTGGTTGGAAACTTCTTGGCATTCTTTGGTCGGGTCCGTCAGAGCATACGGGGGCCTGTGTTGGGATGAGGACGGGTGCGGTGAAAGACCCCGATTGACACATTGAATCAACATGCCAGCCAGTTCCCAAGCAGTTTGAACGGAGTCCGTGTTCAGGATCAAACCGAGGTGTCCCAATCCATCCCATACCGGGCACTGGGCAACTCCTGGTTCGGAGCACTCTCTTGCAACACACGTGCGCGCCACACCGAGTGCCACATGGAAGTGGATGGCCCCAAAACGAGGATCCATGAAATCCAGGTGGTGCCATCCACTTCCATGATGGTTTCCTCGGAGTGTATCTTTCGGACAGTGTGCCAGGCCCAACCTTCCGAAGCGTTTTTCGCCGGAAGACAGACCGATTCTTTCGAAAGGCCCAAAAAGGACTCATCCAACGGTGTTTTTGCCCGTTCTCAGTGTTTTCCAACGGGCGAACCGGTGAACCCGGTGTTTTCGTCGCGCCGACGGTTTTGGGTCCGAGACGTTGAACTTGCTGAGGGAGGTCAATTTCCATCGCAAGGTCCTCTAGGTGGTTTCGGATATGATGGTGGTTTGAGGGGTCAATGTAGGCATATATGGCATACACGGAGTGTCTGGGATATGGTAATCTTCAACCTTTACTTGGGACTGACTTTTGCCCACGGATCGTCGAAACCCTTCCATTTTGTCCGTTGGTCTGCGATTCAACGAGTGACTTCCTTTCAGAAACGGGTCCGTTCGAAACGGGTCCGTTTGGAACCTACCAAACCGCTGGGTGTATTGGATACCTTCCGCGACTGGACCGGACCTCCATTCGACTTCCAGGGCTTCCCTCTCTTCGGTCACCTCACAGACCAGCGGCTGGGGACCAGAAACGGCGGTCGTATGCGGTCGTTGGGTCCACCTGCGACCGAGTCCGTATGGAATGTTGTTTCTTTCCAAAACGCTTGGTTGCGAGCTTGTAACGGTCGAGCTTTTGGAACTTTTTGACGGAATGGCTGAGAGACTGACAAAGGTTCTTTTTTGAGAACAAATGCTAGAACTATTGATTCCCAGCCAGTCACGGTAGGAAGGAGGACGCCCGGTCGTTCATAGGCCACCCCCCGAACTACGTAGATCCTGGAACCGGTGGCACCGATGGATGGTCTTGGCGAATGGCCGGGACGGGGGGTCGTAAAAGGGCTTCAGGCGCTGCGGTCGCAGCTCCCAACAGAGTACCACCAGTAACTTCCAATGTCCGCCAGAGAACCACCGGCAAAGAAAGCATGTTGGGTTTTTGGTTGTTTGTGGGTTTAGTGTTGGTGATTGTTAGTCTTCAGAATTACAAGCTGGACCTTTTCTTCGGCCGTTTCTCTTAATGGTGCCCTTGGTCACGGAGGACTAGCATGAGTTGACCAGACACGGGTATCTTACCAGGTTGTCAGATGATTTAGGTCCTATTTGTGTCCATCCCCTTGTTGAACTGGGGTCCGCATGTTGTTGCTTTGCGGACAGGAATGTCATGTTAGGGATTCAACATGTTCGTTTGCGCCAGTTCCCTCACATGTCCCATGTTGAATCGAACTATTAGCACGTCCAGATGTGGACTAAGAGGACCAACATGTTCACAAAAAGGTTCTTTATCCAGTTGAACACCATTTCATACCTTGAACAAACATCGCCTCTCCCAGTGGGGGGTTTCGGTCCTTTTGGGTGAAGTGGATGTTCCCTGATTGGGGGGGCGCTTTTCTCCAGCAAACTGGAGAGGGTGGTGTCTTTTTTCCCTGGTGTCTTAAGTTCCTTTCAAGGTGCAAACAGGTCAGGACCCGTCGATGGCCCGGATGGACGTCCAGACGTCCGGACGTTCCGGACGTCCGGACGCCGTCCTGTTCGGCGTCTCAGGCGTGTCCTCAGCGTCTTCGCCAGGTGGGGCTCAGTCGGAGGGGTTTCCACTGGAGGAGAACCAGGTCGTTCCACGAGATCGGACAGATCACGTGGTCGGCTTGGGAGTTTGGGGTCAAGACTTGCGGTAACTGGCCTGCAACAGCTGTGATGTGCAGATTCATCCGTGCAGGTGTTTTCATTTTTTTGTCATACAACATGCTCAACTGGCCGCATGGTTGGATCTGTCCGTTCTGAAAGACCACCTGCATTTGGAGGCTGAGTCTACATCTATGTTAGGTTAAGTGTATGGAAGATTTCCCCGGAAAGCAGCCATCAGCAGCCCCAAAGCACCGGACGTCTGCGGGTCCAGACTCAGCAGACTCTCCGCTTTTGCGGTCGCGGGTGTGTTGGCGGCCTGGTCCGGGTCCGCGCGGGCGTTGAACGCGTGGAACAGGGAGGGATGACCGAGACAAGGGGCGCTCGATGTGTTCTCGGTGCGCTCGGTGAGACCTGCTTGACGTGATGGTGTGACCGTTTGCATGGTGTGCTCACGGAGGCAAATGAGAAGATGTGTCCCGAATCAATTCGATCAATGGGGCAGTCCCATTCACCTGCCTCCTGCCAGTCAGTAAATGTCCTGCGAACAGGAATGGCCTGTGAACAGTAACTGTCCGAAAGGGCGATACTCCTTGGAATAGGTGCAGTGCATTGATAAGATGATGAATCCATATACAGAGCAGCAACTTCCTCGCCGCAAAGTATCCTTCTTCTTATCTTCGTCCATAGACCGTCACAGAAGGTGATTGGGTCTTGGGTCTATCCGAACTGACCTGTAACAGTCAGTAATGATCAGATCACTATTTTAGAGAAAGGCCTGCAACCTAACATAACCTAACCATCATCATCCACAGAATTTTGGGGCAAAACCCCCATGAACACCTGTCGTTTGGGTCATTGGATATGTCGTTTGGGTCGTTGGGGATGCATCGTCCGACCTTCAAAAGGGGGGAGGCGTTGACTGCCGAAGCTAGGATAGGATAAGAGGAATTCAATGAGAGGTCTGTTGAGCAGAAATGCTTCAAATGGTGAAAAGATGGTGTTTGACATGGCCTTGCTAAGTCTTGCTTCATTCAGACCAGAGTTGCTTTGATGTTGTGATCCCTGTCATCCCGCCAATGGAGTGGCAACACTGGCAAAACAGGTCCTAAACTATGGACTTTCTGAGAAGATGTTGTATGATTCGTCTCTCGGTACGAAAGGATGTCCCACTTGATTCCACCTCAGATTTCCATCCGAACCTCATTCATCAGCACCTTCCCACTTCCAAACAAACATCCAAGCACTTGATTCCGGAAAACGAAGAAACACCAACGCCCTCCCCCTGGGTCTCCGCCGGGGTCCATTCTCTTCGTGGTGTCCAAAAGGCCGAGCCTCTGGAGCTGCACTCGCTTCTACCTCGGGGTGGCCTGGTGAATCGATGGATTCTTCCGCGACATGCCGCGAAACTCGACGAAACGAGGAAAAGCTGGGTGTGTTTTCGATTGGAACACTTGTGTGTGTGCCCCTTGTAGTCACAGGGATTCTTTTGAATTTGCACAGGATTGACTTGTTTAGAGCAGGGGGACACAGCATTTCACTGGGACTGTGTCCAACGAAGCTACCAGTGAAATGGGATATCCAGCTTGGCCAGTTGGACGTACCTGCAACAATTTTTAAGTTTCCGTAAAGGGCTAATGCACTCGGCAGACAAGAGCGTACGTCGTCATCCTGTCGGCTCGTCGCATCGTGGAGTTTGACTTCTGGCCTTTGAATGCCTTTAACTAAAGGCGCGCAGCCCCCCTCACCTGGTTTTTCAGGATTTGGTTTCTTAGGCTGGCGTGTGGCGCCGCTTTCAGTTCAGTACACCCAATCATAAGTGTGTCTCTCCTAGTGAGAGCCCGCGATAAGCCCGCAGAGTGCCTCCCGTGGACCCGTCGAACGGGGGTTTGTCTTTATCTCCCCTGCCCGGAGATGTGCGGCCCAGAGCGGGCGAAGGTGGCCTAGGCCAAGAGAACTCCGATTTTTTGTCTTACGTTTTGGAATTCCAAGTTGGCTTATGCCTTTACGTGACCGCAGCGGTCAAAGGTGGCAGCCCTCGGGCAAGCCGTACGTGGTCGCAGCGACCAAAGCTTGTTCAAGGCTCATTGGAACCTGTCGGACTCTTAGGTGCACATTACATCGTACACACTTTAACGAGGCAGGTCTTCCTATAGGTCGTTGTAATGAGGTCTGGTTTCATCGGTTCCCGTCCCCTCCACTTGGTTCCCTTTTCACCCTTTCCCCTTCACACACTTCTTCTCATTTTTCCTTTCATGTCTTCCCTTGCTTCATGTCCTTTACATCTCACTCCTTTCGTTCTTTTGTGCGTACAACGGTCCGGGCCTTAGTGTGTACGCGCACATCTACCTTTAACACAGGTGTTAGGTCGCCCAGGTCTTGACAATGAGGTGGGTTTCATCGGTTGTCCCTGTCCACTTGGTTTCTCTTTCATCGCAACCACACACACTTTTGTCCCGTCTCGTCTTCCTTCTCATGTCTTCATCCTTTTGTCTTGGCTGCGCGCACATTTGCACATTCGTCCTAGCCTTAAATTGTTGCCTCCCCTTGGGGAGGCGTGTGTGTGTGTTACCCTTGGAGTCATAGGGATGCTTTTGC